TCATATCCAAGATTTTTCTTTGGTGTAAAACTACAAGATCCATGACTTTAACACGTGTCGCTAAGGGCCCGTTTGGCAACGTGCCAAACAGTGAAAATTTCTGTTCTTTTGTTCCAAGAAATAGTTTGGGAACAGAAATGCGTTTGGTAAACTTTTTGTTCCCGGGCACATTTTTGCAAAAATTTGTGCCGAGAAACAGTTTTGGAAGAGAAACAAGAAGTAAAAAAAAGTTGCTTTTTGTTTCTCGGCACAATTTTGAGAATCAGTTTTTTTTCTTCTTTTTCTTTTCTTATTTTTGTGTTGTTCTTCCTTGGGCTGGGCCGGCGACCGGCCACAGCCCAGGGCCGGCGAGGGCGTCACGGTCCTCGCCAGCCGCCGGCGGAGGCGAGGGTCGCCCTAGCCTAGATCAAGCGAGGCCGAGCCTCGCCGTCGGTAGCGACGGCGAGGTCGGCCTCGCCCAGAGACGGCGAGGGTCCAGCCCTCGCCCTCGCCTCCGCCGGCGAGGGCCGTGATGCCCTCGCCTCCGCCGGCGAGGGCCGTGATGCCCTCGCCGGCCCTGGGCTGTGGCCGGTCGCAGGCGACCGGCCATGGCCAAAGAAAAAAATGGTAGAAAGAAAAAAAAATTAAACAATTCAAAATATTATTAAAATATTATTTAGGAACAGAAATTTTGTGTAGTTACCAAACGCATTTCTGTTCTTTTCTACTCTAGGAATAGAAATTTTGGACAGTTTATCAAACGCCTTCAAATACTCAGAAATTGTTTCCGGGCACAGAATAAAAAAAAATCATTTCTGTTCAAAAATAGTTCCCGGGCACAGAATGGTATTCATGCGCACCCTAAACGGCCCAATTCCATCCATCGCTTCTATCAATTTTCTGTGCCCCAATTTCGATTTAAGATTAGTTCGGGCATCTCGTGGGTTTAGAGATTGATCGATCTCGGGACTTTTGGAAGCGCGAGATCTCATGCTTGTGTTAATTAATTACTGGATATTTACGTTGCTTTCAGCGAGAAATTTCTCGCGATCGAGACTCTTAGATTCACGACCTAATTTTTATTTTGTCTTGGTTCAAATTGCATTTGTGTCTATCTTCGTGAGATTGAAATTTACATCTCAACCGAATTGAAGGTTGTACTATTATTAATGTTACCAGCCAGGACCCACCAATTGTTCTTGTTTAATCGCTTTAGATGAAATGTCCGTTTTCTAGGCATCAACATCCTTCATACATATTATTGTTCTTCTTCTTTTTTTTCGCTTCAAATCTTAGGGTGGCGATGTATTGGTTCTACAAATCTCACAATATGCCGACTACAAGGAGGCAATGCTTACAGGATATTCAACTGAAATCCGTTACCTCACTTACCGGATCAATTTGCAAAATCGATCTTACTACGTATCGGTACTTATATTTTTAATAGGGTACACTACTTCGCGTATGAACAACAACACGGAATACAAGGTACAGGGTGAGTATAGGGGGGGGGGATGATTATACATTTTTTTTAAAGTTTTGGAACCCGAAACGTACTTGTAATTCTTAACCTTCACCTCGAAATCTATTTGATCATTTCTATCGGTTCTGTTGTGCACATCTGTATTTGCATATGCATCGGGTAACACGTGCTTAAGAAAACGTTATTTTCGCGCGGTGGCTAAGTTCGAATTAGTTCATCTAAAAGCTCTTATGGACCACATATAAAGATCTTGATCCTTGTATGGGTTAAACTTGACAATTCTTGCGACTTGTTCAATAAAAGAAAAAGGCATAAAGAAAGGCAGGCATGGCTCAAAAGTCTCTGGTGATATTACATTGAGCGCTGTGAAGCTCTAGCTTCGAGCTAATCAAATAGTAATTTGTGCTGCTAAATTGAACAATTCATAAGATATGCAATGTAAATCCACGAGAAAAATGGTAAAACGACAAAAAAATTTATATGAATATGTTTGAGTAGTCCAATGCAGAAGAGAAATATACACTAAAATATTATTAAATAAATAATATGCTAGGATATTTTATGATACAGAGAACTCATCTAGACACTTCATTTTTATTTGGAAAATTATCCAATCAGTTCTAAACCTATTGTACAGCCAAATTAGTGTTCCAACTTGATTGCATCGGCACTATCACGTCAGCCGATTGACGGCATTAATAACTGTAGATGAATAAATGACTTGATCGAATAAATTAATGAAAAAAAGTTAGATTGCACAAAAGAAAAAGCTTAGAGAATTAAGTCGCACAAACAACAAAATTCAGCGACCTCAAAATGTACTTAACTAGAAGAAAGCAATATTAACACTAGAAGTACCAATTGGAGCAACACAAAAGATTCAAATGGGGAGAGTGAAAACTTGTTGTTTATTAGATATTTTTTCCCATTTTTACCTAATAAACAACAAATTTTTATTTCCCTCATTTTTGCTTGCTTTCCAAACATTAGGGGTGAGCATGGTTCCTGAGTATAACCGAGAATCGAATCGAACTAGCCATGGGAGCCGGTGTGGTTCCAAGTTTCAGTAGGAATTGGTCAGGTTCTCGATTATATATTTTTCGGAGCTATATTATGCGGTTTAGTTCTCGATCCTTGAACCAAACCGAATCGGACTGAGAATCATATAAGGAACCAAGGTAACCCTAAAATAGAGCATGACATATACGATATTACATAAGGCTTGGGTGAACGAAAATAAAATTCGTTCCTCTGAGAGCAACTCCTTGACTTTTATCGTGATTTTTGACTCCTCCGTGAGCAAGATGTTTAGGTTTTATGTTACGCGTTTTGAACTCTTTATTGTTCATTTTGTTTTACATGTTCATCTTTTATGATTTGTTATTATTAACAAATGGAGATTTTTGTTGTAGCGTTCACTTCCATTTTGCTTGACTAAAAATGAAACAAAACAAAAGGAAGAAAAAAAGAAATTGGTCGGTTCCCGGGTAAACCCCAGAACCGATCGAAAGGGTAAATTCTAAGTTTTAGGGTATACAGGGTAAGTTGCAGGTTCCAAAAATTAGAGAACCGATCCCGACAAGAATAGGTTTTAGGTTTCAGGTGGAACGTGAACCGACCCTGAATGCATTCGCCCCGATCAACTATGGTGTTGGAGAAAAAGTAAGTTAAGAGTGTCCTCGCGGCAAGTAGCGATACCATCACCACATTGATTATGGACTGTCCGGAATCAAGACTATCACCACATTGATTATGCCATTATCAAATCCAATTTTTTTGAGCATGTCTGTACTTACTTCACTCCAAAGCACTAGTGCACCATAGCCGATGAGATTCGAGAAGAGACCCTACTCCTCTGGTCGCATATATTCAAAGCAGTCCCTAGCAAAGGCAGGCTCAAAGATTAAAAGAAAAAGAAAAAGAAAAAGAAAAAGATAATCGGAAAGTGAAATCAAAGATCGGAAAAAATAAATTAATAAAGGATTCGTTTATTTAAATAAAAAGGAAATTGGAGGGTTATTCCTTAACTTTCACGTCTATTTTATTTGAAGACGAGGACGATAGAATTTGAAAAAGGCAAATTGGATAAGTTCTTGGGTTGCGTCCTAAATATTCTAAAGGCAAATTGGATAAGTTCTTGGGTTGCATCCTAAATATTCTAACGCCGCCTACTAGAAAGAAAGATCTTGTCCAATCTTCCTAAGCATCAATTAACTTTGTTTTAAATTGGCGATTACCAAGATCATTTTCTTTCGTAATTACATTAACTTTGGTAAGGTCCCTGCTTAATGAATGTTTTGACTTTGGGGTTGGAGTTGCATCAGTCAAATAATCTTTTTATTTTTTGGGTCCAACTTAGATTAGTATGAATAATTAGTGCCTATTCCACGTGGGGCAATTCTAAGCCATTGGGTCCAAAAGCTGTAATCTCCACTTTTCCCGGCCTTCATTGCAAATTTTTTTTTTATGTTGGTGGCTCGTAGCCAAAGTTCAAAAAGCACCCCTGCTATGAAATTCAGGGTGCATTTAATTAGCTTTTCGAATGGACTTTCGGCCTTTAGGATCACTTGAAAAAAAGGTTGAGGTATTTGGTGAATTTATTTTGGGATCGCTTTGGGGAGACGCCGGTTATTGGCAAAAACTGAAAGACCAAATAGGTGGGAGCTTTCGGCATTTTCGGAAGGCAATTTTCAGGAATTTAATGACTTTTTCTTTCCTTTTTTCTTATTGCCTTTTCTAGTTTTCTCATATTACATTTTTACCGTTGAAGGGCCACATCTTAGGACACTTTGAAACCGTTCACGGGGAATTCATGGAGGAGGTCAAGGACACCGGCCAAGGGTCGAGCGATGTCGACTCCGGATGTTGCTTGGCTCGCCTTGCCGAGGTCTCTCTATTTTGATTTCTTTTATTTTTTTTTACGGATCTAGCTCGCTAATGGTCACGCGACACTGGCCAAGGGTTACGTGACGCTCGTGCTCAATTTCAAACCCTCATAGATGGAGTCGTGCAAGCCCTAGTCGAGCGCGGCCGAGTTTTTTAGAGCCGGGGGAAGAGAGAGCGACGGCATGCTGGACCGATGGAGGAGGCGGCGGCGGCAGGGCTGTTTTCGCCGAGGTTGTCAGCTTCAACTGCTTCACAGTCGGATTTCTACAATCTTTTCTTTGCAATTTTTTTTAAAAAAAAAATTGCTTTCCACAGCCCTAGTCTAAAGATCAAAACCCTTTTAACCTAAAAGTCTTTGCATTTCCGTAAAAACTTCCCCCAAATGTCGAACCAAAACGCGGGTAACCTAATCAGATAAATACTAGAAATTGAATAACATTATGTTAGATGACATCATAATTTTATAGACAAGGATAAAAAACCTAAAGTCCCATCTGAATATCCAAATCTGCCATTATCGTCCGTCCTCGAAGACGCTCTCATGAGAATATGAATAATCGACTACACAGATTCTTAGTTTGAAGGAGAGATGATAAATGGTGCTTTATATTATGAACCGTAAAAAAAAAAACTACTATAAAAGCATATGAAATTTAAAAAAAAAAGTTTGAAACATTCATTTATTGTTTTCTTTCATGATGATATCGTTTATGCAACATTTTGCCAACTAACAAAACTGATTCCTATACATAGAAATCAACAAATAGAAGCTTAACAAAGGGACTGTTCTTCTACCCTTTTTTTCCAATTTCATGTATGGGTCGACAAATAGAAAGAATTTCTTTTCCCACCCTTTTTGGAAAGATTTTCTTAGTAGATGTAGCATTCTCTCTTTTCCAATTTGACTTCTACTTTACCATCAATTTGAACAGCAAGTTCTCTTGCCGAAATTACCCGAGAAATTCCCGACGTTGATCGTGGTGCCGTGAGGGAGCACCCCAGGGTTCGAGGCCGCCTCCTCCGCGGCCAGCGCCTTCCGGCTGATGATGTGGTAGATGTCGAGCAGGACCTTCTGGAACGCGTTCTCGATGTTGAACGCCTCCAGCGCCGACGTCTCGAGGAACGACAAGTTCTCCCTCTCGGCCATGGCCTCCGCCGTCTCTGCCGAGATAGCCCTCAGGTGGTTGAGGTCGGACTTGTTCCCGGCCAGCATGATGACGATGTTGGAGTCGGCGTGGTCGCGGAGCTCGCGGAGCCACCGGTGGACATTGTCGAACGTCTGCCTCTTGGTGATGTCGTAGACTAGCAACGCCCCGACCGCGCCTCGGTAGTAAGCGCTCGTGATGGCGCGGTACCGCTCCTGCCCGGCGGTGTCCCATATCTGAGCCTTAACCGTCTTGCCATCGACCTGAATGATATAAGTCGGAACAATTAATCCATGGTCATATTGGTTCGCAAATTCAATTTCAAAAAGATTACTTTTACGATTTTATTTTCAAAAAAACTGAATTTTATTAGCAGTTGTGTAGATCGGAAAGGTTTCATTATCAAAAAATGATATACTCCTATTGTCTTCAAGAACTCTGCAAATTCTTTATTTTCATGGAATTAGATGCTTTGGAAACACATTCTTTTAGTCAGATTCAATACGAAGAAAAAACAAAAAAAAAAAACGAGAAGCCGAAAAACGATTTGATTTCGATCATTTCAATATAACCCGATAAAGGAAAATCACCGGACAACATTAAGAAAACTTCCTCGGTCGATTCCGATCGACGGGACCTCCCATGTCGAGATCAGAAACGCTTCAAAGAAATAAACCCGAGAACGCAAAAACATCACCGGAGAATCCAGTCGCGCGCCGCGCCAATCCGTAATTGCGGAAATTAATTAGAATGCAAAGACAAATTAATCCAGGCAAGCAAAACAGAAAGAAGAAAAATACCATTATTCTGATTAAAAAAAGATAAAGAAGAGAGGAAACGAATTGAACCTGGAGAGTCCTGGTGGCGAATTCGACACCGATGGTGGATTTGGACTCTAAGCAAAACTCATTTCGTGTGAATCGGGAGAGAATGTTGGATTTCCCCACGCCCGAATCTCCGATCAACACGATCTTGAACAGATAATCGTATTCTTGATCCACTTTATACGCCATTAAAAAGCGAATAATTTGCACGAGAATCGAATCGTTTTGACCATGGAAAGGTCGGCCCTTTTCTTTCCTTGATCGATCGATCGATTGATTGATGATCCCACACACAGAAGAAGAAGCTTCCTTCTCTTCTCCAAAAGGATGAAGCTAACCCACAGAGGAAAAAAGTTTCATTTCGAGCTCGATTTGCTCCTTCTTTTCTATTTTTTGGGGTCTTTATTTCTAATTTTTATATTTTCTTTTCTTGAGGGGAGGAGAAATGTGAAGGGAGAAATTGTCAGTCCAATTGAGGAAAACAGAAATTTCGATTTGGAGGGGCGCGCCAATGGCCGTCCACGTTGGACAACAAGAGAGAATTTCGGGGAAATTCATGATTTGTTTTTTTTCCTTAAACCACGAACGTGAGAAATGTTTTTGTTGGGGTGTCGTGAATGACTTCACTTTTGCACCCACTCGAATTTTTTTTTTTTTTTTAAGTAACCAAGGTGTTCGGGCCAGCTTGCACGCACCTCAACTATTCCTCGGGGGAGACTAGCACAGCAACCCACCGCCATGGCCCCCCACTTAAATCACAAGTGCTCAGCTGGGGAATCGAATCTGAGACCAGTGCGCCTAACTACACAATCTCAAGTACGCCCTAACCAACTGAGATACCCATGGGTGGGTACTCGAAATTTAATTTGTCTCAATTTATCTCCATAAACGATAACAACATACGTTAGCTTAATCCAGATTCCATGTTGCTAATTTATCGAGGAGCGGTCATCCTTATGTAAAAGTGGCGGGACAATTGTTTAACAATGAAGTTATGCGACGATGGTTGCGGAATAGTGAAGCTCTTTGAGCGGATTTTCGAGATATGCGATGATGAGTATTTGATGCCAAACAATTTCTTTATATGAGTTAGATTTGAGGTTTGAGGACAATATATTGGTAAGCAAAATAAAGAAATCTGATTTTGCCAGCATGAAATTTATCGAACATGACCACATCAAATCTCCATGAGATTTTTGGCCAAAGCAAACAAATCCTCCGTAATTGAGATTGCTAGACGTGATAAAATGCTTGAACAATTAACGAAACTTTGATGTATTCGATCAGTCTCGAGGCCTCGGAAGAGGAGATCTGCTCAGGAATGATCGGAACAACGCGAGCGCCTGAGAAGGAGATGTGAACGGGACCTCGTGAGCCGCCCCGCGCACGGTGGCAAACGTCAGGTACGTCACGTTCTTGCCATCCGTCAACGTGCCGAAGGATTGCGACCAACCTCCCACCTGCAAAGCCATAGAAAAAAAAGAGTGAATTTTATGTGATCAAACTACCAGCATTGATGCACCTAACAGCATTAATCTATGAAGGGCATGTTGGGTGTTGAATCATACCTGTTTCTTGTCCTACCATGGACCATATTTTGTGAAGGGATGGCGCAGGGTAAGAGCTTTCCAAAGTAATTCTGAAATTCAATTGATAGTAGCCTTTTTCATCTCATTCATCGTAACATCCTTTTATAGGCGAGTAAGGAACAACCCTCCAAGCTTGGAAAATAGAGAACTTAATAAATTCCTAGAAGACAAATCACAATTAATAAGGACTCTGGAAATCTAAAACTATTCAACTACTTTCGAAAATATAAGAAATCAGTAATGACCTTCGACGTCTTCGAGGAATGCTCCGGCATCAGTCACGGTCAAATCACGTCGGTTTCTGGCGATCATGTTTGTCAAGATAATCACATGCCAATCGTTCATTAATGGCCTTCGACTTCTTCGAGGAATGCTTCGGCATCAGTCACGGTCAAATCGCGTCGTTTTCTGGCGATCACGTTTGTCAAGATAATCACATGCCAATCGTTCTACATCAAGGGAACAAGCTTCAAATCTTTGGCTAGATTGTTGGCGATTATTCTAGTTTGAGTCAGGGGGATTAATGAATCTTGATCCCCACTGTTTCGATCACCAAACAGATAAACAAATTAAGATCACCAATTCATGGAGATTCTACCTGAATCCAGACTCGGATGAAATGAAGTTTTTAATAAGATCAAACCTGTATAGCCAGATAGGAATGCCTTCCAGAATGATCTCTGCTACGAGGGGGATCAGGTTCATGTCCAAATTATCCTCTTGATACACGAGTGGCCTGTAAAAATACTTTAGATTATAATGTTTCGGCACTACTTTTTTTGTGCGCATCTAAAACGCACGGACTAGACTTGATCATGGACTTGATCTCTGCAAAACCATTTTCTGGTTTTTCAAGTTTCGCTTAGCTTAGATCTTAACCTAATTCCATTATGTTATGATGAAATATCTGGAGAGAGAGAGAGAGAGAGAGCGAGAGAGACCCTAGACAAAAGTCCCAATGAAAAGGGAGGTGAGTAATGTTAGCATGAAGAGCCCTCTGAACCTCAGGCTTGTTCAGATAAGTGAATATTCTTCCTTTAAGGCATGGATCTCCCGTCACTCCTAGTCCTCTCCTAGCAACCTGTCAAAATTTTCCCATCAAATTTACTCTGGCTGAGTTATTTGACCCACCGAATCTCATCAATCATGGCTAATTTAGATATATTTTTTAAACTCGCCGCGAGATCCACGCCCCCCCGCTTTGCCATCGGCAGAAATTGCTCCGAGTTAGAGCTCGAGGACGATGTGCATTTAGGTAGAAGGAGATCGTCGGACTTAACATCTTCGCTGACTTCATCGTTGACTCTGATATAGAACACATAGTTGCATCCGCCGGAATACTGATCGTGCACATACTCTCGCATGTACTTGGAATTGTTGCAGACTGTCCTCTCCAAGTAGAGCGTCTCGTCCGATATCGCCCCATGTGCCCACAAGTAATCGCCGGCCTGAATACTAATATCCAGGTCTAGAAGTCGGTTTCCTAGCTAAAGAGACAATGTGCAAATTTTAAGGTTAAAAGAATTGTCTCATAGGGCAAAACTACAAGACTTATGCAAAACTTGACTAATCTTGCTAAGAAACTTGCAGCTATTGACTTGAGCTTGATAGGGTTAACATTGGGCCCTTTGTTGTACTCGATCAACAGTTTTGCAAGTTGAGGTATGTAGTGACCTACAAAAATGGTATTATTGTTAAGGAGAATACTCTAACTTCTTGTCAAAAAACGACATGTCATTAAGTAATCTAGTTTAGCTTATCATCTTTGAAAATGAGGTCAATCATTGTTGCCAAAATGAAAACAAGAAACAACTTTGAGCTGTCATCACCTGCATAGCTTTCACCAGCTAGAAAGAACTCAGAGTTCTTGTACATTGGGAATTCTTCAAGCCAGTTTATGAGAAACCTCAAGTTGTCCTCCGCTGCGAACGGGCTGATCGATCCGTAAATTATCACCCCACGTCCAAAAAGGAAAGGATGAACATAATTAAATTTAAAATAATTGGAAAAAATTACATAAAGGCGTACCGGTCCGGGTATCATTCCAATCTTCGTAGTTTGAGCTCGTGTTGGAGTATGAGAATCCGACACCGATGGTGACTTGACATATAGCATGTTCGATTCTGATCATCACTCACTTGACGTTAAAACAAGAAACTAGGAAGCCAGCCGAGTTAATGGCATTTGCTCATAGACAGATTAGTGCAGTGAGCAAGTAAAAATTTACCCAAGTTCCACGAGTAGTCATTCTTGATGAGGGAACCGTTGTCACTAGGTTTGAAGGGACCGTGCTCCATGAAAGCACCAAAACCGAGCGACGAACAACCTGGGCCTGGCATTGAAAAGATTTTTCCATGAACCACAAGTCACAACATGGGGGATGAGACAAAAGGAAGAGAATTTTAAGGCCCCAAGTGAAAAGTTTTCAGACCTCCATTCAGCCAAAGGGTCAAGGGAAGAGAGGAAGCATTAGGCGATTCGGCTTCGACGAAGTAATAGAACAGAGCTCGGCCGTGCCGAGCATTGGTGACAACATAAGCCGAGTATTGCTTGAAGGAGACATTAAATGGTTGACCTGGGAGAGATGATATGAGCTTAGCGTAAGCTATAGAACAGTAGAACAACATGAACAGAGAGAGAATCCGAAGTGCCATATGAGAGAATCCTGATTTCGTGATTCAATCAAAGTCGCAAAACATATACAGTGACAGTCATGGTCATTATCCGGTGAATCCAAGGTTTTGGAAGCTTGGTGATGTTTTTGCATTAAGACCCAGGCAAGAGTTGGCACTGAACAATGAAAATCTTGGATAATATGAATCACAAAACGCTGGAACTTTTAGGAAAGGCATATGAACCATCGAAATCACATGCATATTGGAAATTTTATAGGGTCCCTTTTTGTTTTGTCAAAACATGATATCTCCAACACTGGACTAGGACAAGGAACTCGACTTAGGAGTAACTGACGAGCCTAGACCATCTACATTGCAGTTCGACGAAAGAGAGCTGGAAATATTTATCCGGCCCGTGTTCGACCTCTCCTAAAGGGTTACATCCGAATGACGGTAGTTGATGAGAGTTACTTCGAGAGTTGCATGAATCATATACAACGGGGCGCAGATTCTCTTGCACTAATAGAACATGATGCAACGTCTATTTTTCTAACCAAATTGGGTACAACTCTTTCTTCTGTAATATCTGCACGGCCCGGCATTAAATTCTGACGGCGGATGGCAAAGGCCAAAGAAATTGGACTTCTTGCATCGAAACCGATTTTCTGAGTCAACGCGAACTAGTATGCTGTGGAATGCTTAACCTAAATCGTATCCTCTCAGAGCAATCACATGCCATCAACCAACTTCACTTCCCATGCACATCATGGCTTAAGAACTAAGTCAAAGTAACCCAAATTATCCTGTAGATAAACTTAAATTACTTTGTTTTGGAAGGTCTTCTTGTTCTTTTTGGCCGAGGAGATGCTATCTCAAGCCACTCAGTCAGGGGTGTGTTCCCCTATTTATAGACCAACAACACAAGTACCCAAGATTTTCAATCACATAAATCGCAAAGGATTGGTCTTAACCTAGTCTTTTTTTCTCTACAAAATCCTCCATCCCAGATTCTTGTTTGTGCCCAAGAAACCACCCAACTTAGTGGAGTA